GTCCCGGGGTGTCCCGGGGGGGTCCTGGGGGTGTCCCGGGGTTCCAGGGGGTGTCCCAGGGTTCCTGGGGGTGTCCCGGGGGTGTCCCGGGGTTCCAGGGGGGGTTCCTGGGGGTTCCTGGGGGTGTCCTGGGGGTGTCCCAGGGTTCCTGGGGGTGTCCCAGGGGTGTCCCGGGGTCCCACCTGGCTGTGCACGAGGCGGGCGTGGCGCAGGATGGCGATGACGTCGCCCACCACGGTGATGCCCAACTCCTTCATCAGCTCCCGCGTCAGCTCCAGCAGCATGTCCTTGTGGATCCTGCGGGAAGCAGCCACTGGGATCCACTGGGATCCACTGGGATCCGCCCACAGACCCCCGGCCTCCTCAGGAGGCCTTTGCAGCCCCCGGGATCCCCCTGGACCCACGGGGATCCCGCCAGGATTCCACTCAGGCATTGGCCTGGAGACCCCCAGGATCCATCTGGAGACCCCCAGGATCTGCTGGGATCCACCTGGAGACCCCCAGGATCCACTGGGATCCATCAGGAGACCACTGGGATCCACTGGCATCTGCCTGGAGACCCCCAGGATCCACTGGAATCCACTGGGGCACCTCCAGGGTCAACTGGGATCCACCTGGAGACCCCCGGGATTCACTGGGATCTGCCTGGAGACCCCCGGGATTCACTGGGATCTGCCTGGAGACCCCCGGGATCCACTGGGATCTGCCTGGAGATCCCTGGGATTCACCTGGAGACCTCCAGGATCCACATGGGAGACCTCCAGGATCCTCCTGGAGACCCCTGGGATCCACTGATATCCACTCAGAGAACTCCCTTGGATCCCCCTGGATCCCCCCAAAGCCCCGGGACCCACTGGAATTCCCTTGGATCCCCCTGGATCCCCCCCCAGACCCACTGGAATTCCCCTGGATCCCCCCAAACTGCCCCGGGATCCACTGGAATCCCCCTGGATCCCCCCAGGATCCACTGGAATTCCCCTGGATCCCCCTGGATCCCCCCCAGACCCACTGGAATTCCCCTGGATCCCCCTGGATCCCCCCCAGACCCACTGGAATTCCCCTGGATCCCCCTGGAACTCCCCCAGGACCCACTGGAACCCCCCCGGCTCCCCCTGGATCCCCCAGGACCCACTGGAACCCCCCCGCTCCCACCTGTTGTCCACAAAGGCGACAGCGTAGCCGAGGGCGGGGCCGGGCGGGATCCCGGCGTCCTGGAAGAACTGCAGCCACTCCCCCGTGGCTGCGACCGGAGCGGGGGAAACGGGGTCAGAAATGGGGGGATGGGATCAGAGAGGGGGGCAGAAATGGGGGGATGGGATCAGAAATGGGGAATGGGATCAGAAATGGGGGCAGAGAGGGGAAACGGGATCAGAGAGGGGAATGGGATCAGAAACGGGATCAGAGAGGGGAATGGGATCAGAAACGGGGTCAGAAATGGGGGCAGAGAGGGGGAATGGGATCAGAAATGGGATCAGACACAAGGAATGGGATCAGAAATGGGGGCAGAAATGGGATCAGAAATGGGGAAATGGGATCAGAAATGGGATCAGACACGGGGAATGGGATCGGGAATGGGGAATGGGATCAGAAATGGGATCAGAAATGGGGAAATGGGATCAGAAATGGGATCAGACACGGGGAATGGGATCAGAAATGGGGAATGGGATCAGAAATGGGGGCAGAGAGGGGAAATGGGATCAGAAATGGGATCAGAAATGGGATCAGAAATGGGGAAATGGGATCAGAAATGGGATCAGAAATAGGGAATGGGATCAGAAATGGGGAATGGGATCAGAAATGGGGAATGGGATCAGAAACGGGATCAGAAATGGGAAATGGGATCAGAAATGGGGAATGGGATCAGAAATGGGGGCAGAGAGGGGAAATGGGATCAGAAATGGGGAATGGGATCAGAAATGGGGAATGGGATCAGAAATGGGGAAATGGGAACAAAGAGGGGGGCAGAGAGGGGGAATGGGATCAGAAATGGGATCAAAAAGGCGGAATGGGGTCAAATATGGGATCAAAAATGGGATCACAAATGGGATCAAAAAAGGGAAAATGGGATCAAAAAGGGGGAAATGGGATTGGGGGGATGGGAATGGGATTGGGGGAGGGGCAGGGGGGTGTCCCAGGGATTCCCAGCTGTCCCAGTCCCAGCTGTCCCAGTCCCAGCTCTCCCAGTCCCAGCTGTCCCATTCCCAGCTGCCCCAGTCCCAGCTGCTCCCGGGGATTAACGGGAATCACGGGAAGGGGGGAGGAGGGAAGGGGAGTTTGGGGGGGTTGGGGGGATTTGGGGCCTTTTGGAGGCACTTTGGGGGGGATTCCCTGGAATTTCGGGGGGTGAAGGGGGGATTTGAAGGAATTTAGGGGCGGGGGGGGGGGGGGGGGATTTTGGGGGTGGGTGGAGATCCTTTGGGAAAATCCCCAGGGAATTTTTTGGGGGGGGTTTTGAGGGAATTTTGGGGGTTTGGAGGGAATTTGGGGGGATTTTCGGGGAATTTGGGGGAATTTTCAGGGAATTCGGGGGGGTTTGGGGGGGTCCCTCCTTACCCATGTCTGGGGGGGCCGAGCTGGGTCTGGGGGGGCGGCCTGGGGGGGGGTTGGGGGGCTCAGGGAGGGGGGGCTGAGGCCGCCCCACAACCCCCCGAGCCCCCAAAATCAACCCCCCAAATCCCCCGAAACCTCCCAAACCCCCAAATCCCCCCCCAGACCCCCCCAATTTCTCCCCAAATTTCCCCCAACCCCCCCCAGACCACACAACCCCCCCAAAATCCTTCCATTCCCCCCAAAATCCCCAAAAGCTTTCAATTCTCCCCCCAAATCCTTCCATTCCCCCCCAAAATCCCCAAAAGCTTTCAATTCCCCCCAAAAGTTTTCAATTCCCCCCCAAATCCTTCAATTCCCCCCAAAATCCTCCGATTCCCCCCCAAAATCCCCAAAAGTTTTCAATTCCCCCCCAAAATCCTTCAATTCCCCCCAAAATCCTCCGATTCCCCCTCAAACCCTCAAAACCCCCTCAGACCCCCCAATTCCCCCCAAATTCCCCCCAGACCCCCCAAAATTACCCCAAAATCCTTCAGTTACCCCCAAAACCTCCCCAAACCTCCCGAAATCCCCCCAATTACCCCCAAAAAAAACCCAAAATCCCCCAACTCCCTCGACCCCTCCCGCATTTCTCCACGTCCCCCCTCCCCCCCCCCCCGCGCCTCGTCCCCACCCTCCGTCCCCCCTCCCATAGACCCAAAATTCCCCCCCAAATCCCCCCAATTTCCCCCAAAATCACCCCAACTTTCCCCTCCCCCCCCACATGCCCCTCCCGCCGCCTTCGGGCCCCGCCGACAGTGACGTCACCGGAAGGGGCTGGGCACCGGAGCGGTGCCGTTGGGACGGCGAGGGCGCCCCCCAGCGGACGGAGCGCCCGGACGGTACCACTGAGGGGGGGCCGGGGGGGGGGACGCCCCGAAAACGGGGCGAAACGGGGAGAAAACGGGTAAAAACGGGGCCAAAGCGGCCCCGAACGTGTCCCCCGAGCCGGCCCGAAAACCCGCCCTGAGTGTGGTCCCGAAACTGGGGCGAAAATGGGCAAAAACGGGGCAAAAACCGGGCGAAAAAGTGGTCCCAAAACCGGCCCCAAATGAGGCCCCAAAACCGGCCCCAAAACCGGCCAAAGAAAGGCCCCAAACCCTCCTTAAATGTGTCCCTGAAGCGGCCCCGAACTAGTACTAAGTGTGGGCCTAAACTGGCCCTAAACGTGGCCATGAACTGGCCCCCAAACGGGCCCCAAATATGGCCTCAAACAGGCCCCAAATGTGGCCCCAAACCGGCCGCCAAACCGACCCCAAACCGGCCCCAAACGTGGCCTCAAACAGGCCCCAAGTGTGGCCCCAAACCGACCCCAAACCGACCCCAAACGTGGCCTCAAACCGACCCCAAATGTGGCCCCAAACCGACCCCAAACCGGCCCCAAACGTGGCCTCAAACCGACCCCAAATGTGGCCCCAAACCGACCCCAAACGTGGCCTCAAACCGACCCCAAATGTGGCCCCAAACCGACCCCAAACGTGGCCTCAAACAGGCCCCAAATGTGGCCCCAAACCGGCCCTAAACGTGGCCCTGAAGTGGCCCCCAAACCGGCCCCAAACGTGGCCTCAAACCTGCCCCAAACGTGGCCCCAAACCTGCCCCAAATGTAGCCCCAAACCTGCCCCAAATGTGGCCCCAAACCTGCCCCAAACGTGGCCTCAAACCAGCCCCAAATGTGGCCCCAAACCAGCCCTAAACTTGTCCCAAAACTGGCCCTAAACGTGCCCCAAAACCGGCCCTAAATGTGTCCTAAAACCAACTCTAAATTTGTCCCAAAACCGGCCCTAAACGTGCCCCAAAACCTAAACGTGTCCCTGTCCCTAAACCCGCCCCAAACCCGCCCCAAACCGGTTCCTAAACCCGTCCTACCCCCCCCCACCCTGCCCCGGGGGGGCCCAGCCCCGATTTTGGGGAGGGTTTGGGGTTTTGGGGGAGGCCCCACGTGGAGGCTCCAAATCCCGGGAATTCCGGAGGCTTTTTGGGGGGTTTTTGGGGGGGTTTTGGGGGTCCCTGAGCCCCCAAATCCCACCGGGGGGGGAGATAAAACCCGGAATTTTCTGTTCCAGGCTTTGCCAGGATGGGACCGAAGGGAGCCTATAAACAGGTAAGGGGGGGACCCCAAAACCACCCAAATTTGGGGGCACAGAGACCCCAAACTCCCAAGTTTGGGGTCTCAGAACCCCCAAACCTCCAAATTTGGGAGCTCAGAACCCCCAAACCCCCCAAATTTGGGGTCTCAGAACCCCCAAACCCCCCAAATTTGGGGTCTCAGAACCCCCAAACCCCCCAAATTTGGGGTCTCAGAACCCCCAATCCTCCACATTTGGGGTCTCAGAACCCCCAAACCCCCAAATTTGGGGTCTCAGAGACCCCAAAATCTCAAACTGGGGGATTCTGGGGCCTCAACCCCAAACTGGGGGGGTCCCCAAACCTGGTTCCCCCCCAAATTTGGGGGATCCCCCCTTAATTCTCCCCCCCCCCCCCAGCTGGACCCCCCGGAGGAGCCTCGGCCGCCCCCCCCCAAGGTAATTAATGAAGGGAATTAATCCCATTAATTAAAGCCCCCTCCCCTCTCCCCCCTTTCCGGGATCTTCCTCCCAATTTGGGGGGGGGGGGCTTTAATTAATGAGTTATTGATGGAGGGAGTTATTAATGGAGTGAATTATTTAATAACTGAATTATTATTTGAGTGAATTATCAATTCACTGAGTTATTAATGGAGCAAATTATTAATTAGCTGAATTATTAATTGAGAGAATTATTAATTGAGTGTATTTTTAATTAACTGAATTATTAATGAAGTAAATTATCAGTGGAGTGAATTATCAATTAACTGAATAATTAATTAACTGAATAATTAATGGAGTTAATTATTAATAGTGTGAATTATTAATTAACTGAATTATTAATTAACTGAATTATTAATGGAGCAAAATATTAATTAACTGAGTTATTAATGGAGTGAATTATTAATTAACTGAATTATTAATTGAGGGAATTATTAATTGGGTGAATTATTGATTAACTGAATTATTGATTGACTGAATAATTAATGGAATTAATTAATCCCCCTCCCAGCGCCGCCCCCTCTGCTCCTTCCTCCTCCTCCTCCTCCTCCTCCTCCTCCTCCTCACCTTCCTCTTCCTCCTCCTCCTCCGTCGGGACCCCCCCGGGGACCCCCCCGGGGACCCCCCCGGGGACCCCAAACCCTGCGAGGAGCCCTGCAGGTAAGAGGGGATTGGGGGGGGGGAACGACCCCGGGAGACCCCCCAGAGACCCCCCAGAGACCCCCCGGGACCAGCAGGGACCAACTGGGACCAACTGGGACCAACTGGGACCCCCAGAGATCCCCAGAGATCCCTGGAGACCTCTGGGACCCCAAAGACCCCCAGAGAGCCCCTGGGACCCCCTGGGACCAGTAGGGACCCCCTGGGAACACCTGGGACCCCCTGGGACCCCCAGAGACTCCCTGGGACCAGTAGGGACCCCCTGGGACCCCCAGAGACCCCCTGGGACCCCCAGGGGCCCCAAAGACCCCCCAAGACCCCAAAGACCCCCTGAGCTCCCCATAGGATTGTGCTGGGCACCGGGGCCTGGGGAGACTCCCCAAGACCCCCAAAGACCCCCAGGGGCCCCAAAGACCCCCAGGAACCCCCAAGACCCCCCAAAGACCCCAGAGACCCCCCGAGCCCCCCGTAGGATCGTGCTGGTGGAGTCCATCCCCGAGGGGATGTCCCTGGGCGCCGGGTCCCATGGAGACTCCCCAAGGCCCCCCAAGGACCCCCGAAAAAAAAGCCCCCCCCCAAAGGTACCCCCCTTTTTGAACAAAAGACCCCCAAGACCCCCAGACCCCCAACCAAAGACCCCCCAAAGACCCAGAGACCCCCGCGAGGCCCCCAGTAGGCTCCTGTATGGGAGTCCATCCCCGAGGGGATGTCCCTGGGCGCCGGGTCCCATGGAGACTTCCCAAGACCCCCAAAGACTCCCCAAGACCCCCAAAGACCCCCCAAAGACCCCAGAGACCCCCAAAGACCCCCCAAAGACCCCAGAGACCCCCCGAGCCCCCCGTAGGATCGTGCTGGTGGAGTCCATCCCCGAGGGGATGTCCCTGGGCGCCGGCGCGGCCGCGAACCCGTCGACGTTCGACGCGTGGATGGAGCTGCTGGGAGGGGCCACCCGGACCTTGGACGTGGCCTCCTTCTACTGGACCTTGACCAACGAGGACACTCGGACCCACGAGCCCTCGGCCGCCCCGGTGAGACCCCCCAGACCCCCCGCCCGCCCCTCCTTCGGCCCTTTTCCCACCCCTTTGGGCGGGTTTCGACCGTTTTTTGCCGTTTTCGGACGTTCCCAACGGGTTTGTCCCTTTTTTGACCCTTTTTGACCATTTTTAACTCTTGTGTAACCACTTCTGCTCCTTTTCCACCGTTTTTAACCCTTTTTAGGTGATTTTTACTGCCCGCGAACGTTTTTGACCGTTTTTAATCGATTTTGATAATTTTTAACCGATTTTGACAATTTTTGACTGGTTTTGATAACTTTTAACTGCTTTTAACGGTTTTTAACTGTTTTTAACGGTTTTTAACTGGTTTTAACCCCACTCTTCACCATTTTTAACTATTTTTGGCCGTTTGTAAGGGTTTTGACCCAGTTTGAATATTGTTTTTTGGACCCCGTTTAACCCTTTTTGGCCATTTTTAGCCCTCATTGACCATTCTTAACTGTTTTTGACAATTTTTAACCATTTTTGACCATTCTTAACCATTTTTGACCACTTTTAGCCATTTTTGACCATTTTAAACCATTTTTTTTGCCATTTTTAGCCATTTTTGACCATCCGTAACCATTTTTGACCATTTTTGGCCTGTTTTACCCATCCTTAAGCACTCTTGACCCTTCCAACCATCCGTAACCATTTTCAACCCATTCCAACAATTTCAAACTTCGACCGTTTTTGGCCGGTTTTGCCCCTTTTTGGCCGTTTCTGCCCCTTTTTGGCCGTTTTTGCCCCTTTCCCGCCATTTTTCACCGCCTTTCCCCGTTTCCCCCCCTTTTTGACCCGTTTTTCCCCCCTGCTGCCCCCCCAGGGCGAGCGGGTGCTGGCGGAGCTGCTGCGGCTGCCCCGGCGCGGGGTCTCCGTGCGCGTCGCCGTCAACGTCCCGTCGGCCAAGACGCCCACGGGGGACCTGCGGGCGCTGGAGAGGAGCGGTGGGTGCCGGGGGGGTCAGGGGGGACACCCCGGGCCGGGGGGCCGGGCCGGGGCCCGGGGGTCTCACCGGTGCCGGTGCAGGGGCGTCGGTTCGCGCCGTGGACCTGCCGCGCCTCACCGGCGGCGTCCTGCACACCAAGTTCTGGCTCGTCGACGGGCGGCACCTCTACGTGGGCAGCGCCAACATGGACTGGAGGGCCCTCACCCAGGTGGGGGGGGACACAACGGAGGGTGATGAACCCAGTGGGTGACCCCAAACCCGATGGGGTGACCCCAAACCCAATGGGATGACCCCAAACCCAATGGAGTGACCCCAAACCCAGTGGAGTGACCCCAAACCCAACGGGGTGACCCCAAACCCAACGGGGTGACCCCAAACCCAACGGAGGGTGATGAACCCAACGGGGTGACCCCAAACCCGATGGGGTGACCCCAAACCCAATGGGATGACCCCAAACCCAATGGAGTGACCCCAAACCCAGTGGAGTGACCCCAAACCCAACGGGGTGACCCCAAACCCAATGGGATGACCCCAAACCCAATGGAGTGACCCCAAACCCAGTGGAGTGACCCCAAACCCAACGGGGTGACCCCAAACCCAATGGGATGACCCCAAACCCAATGGAGTGACCCCAAACCCAGTGGAGTGACCCCAAACCCAACGGGGTGACCCCAAACCCAACGGAGGGTGATGAACCCAAGGGGGTGACCCCAAACCCATCAGGGTGACCCCAAACCCAACGGGGTGACCCCAAACCCAATGGAGAGTGATGAACCCAACGGGGTGACCCCAAACCCAACGAGGTGACCCCAAACCCAATGGGGTGACCCCAAACCCAACGGAGGGTGATGAACCCAATGGGGTGACCCCAAACCCAATGGGGTGACCCCAAACCCAACGGAGGGTGATGAACCCAACGGGGTGACCCCAAACCCGATGGGGTGACCCCAAACCCAATGGGATGACCCCAAACCCAATGGAGTGACCCCAAACCCAATGGGGTGACCCCAAACCCAATGGGATGACCCTAAACCCAACAGGGTGACCCCAAACCCAACGGGGTGACCCCAAACCCGCCGCAGGTGAAGGAGGTCGGCGCCGCCGTCTACAACTGCAGCTGCCTGGCCCAGGACTTGGCCAAGATCTTTGAGGCCTACTGGGCCCTGGGCGTGCCGGGGGCCTCCATCCCGTCCCCGTGGCCGGCGAGTTTCTCCACCTCCTTCAACCTGAAGACGCCGCTGGCGCTGACGCTCAACGGCACCAACGCCACCGCCTACTTCTCGGTAGGCGCCCCACCCGCCGGGGGGGGTCCCGTTGGGTCGCACTGGGTCCTGTTGGGTCATGTTGGGTCCTGTTGGGTCCTGTTGGGTCATTTTGAGTAGTGTTGGGTCCCTTTGGGTCATGTTGGGTCCCGTTGAGTCCCATTGGGTCCCGTTGAGTCCCATTGGGT